ATATTATCTTCCCTTCTCCTTCCCCACTTAAGGACCCTCTCTGATATTTTCCATTTCCACTTTCATAGCACCTTCTATCTCCCTCTCTCAAGCTGCCTCCCCTGTCCTTTTATACTTTCTTGATTTCTGTACTTTCTCCAGGTTATAAAGTCACATTTAAAGATTCGAGGCAGTTTTACTTTATTGTGTTTTACGACTGAAGTATGTGCTCTTCAGCAGTAGGCTCTTACAGTTCTTGAGGGTTACTATATATTCCTCCCAAACATTAAAGACCACTGTGACTGTTCTTGGCTATTCCCCTGAATTAAAACAGAAGCCTTGGGGGGAATGAAGGAGTGCTGCTTACTGGCTTGCTCTCTATGGCTTGCTCAGTTTGTTTTCTTATATAACTCAGGACTACCAGCTCAGAGACAGCATCACCTATGGTGGACTGAACTCTCACACATCAATCATTAACCAATAAAAATGCCCAAAAAACATACAAACATGCCTACAGGCCATGTAACTCTACCTTGTGGCAAATGGACAAAAAAAAAAAAAAAAAAAGAAAGTGAGCACAAAAAGTTACAAAGTTACAGTAATACTGCTTTACTCAAAGGGACTCTTGAAAGTTAAGTGACAGTCCTTGTTTAAAAAAACAAAACAAAACTGCCTGACATAATAGTCAGACTACAAAACTGCCTTTCCACTTGAATCATGTCTTTGGCTGCTAATGTTGCCTTGGAAATAATTAGCATTATTTATTTATCCTCCTCCCTTTTTGTTGTTTAACAAAATATGAGTCTCCCAAGGGAAGACATTAGAACGTCTCTGTGACATAAGCACAGAGGTGGAGTGTGTGAATGACTTGTTTAGTTTGGAATTTTAAAGCTCCATCAAGAATGAAGGTAAGCATGGGGATGGAGCCATTAAGAAAACTGGAAAGAAACAGACGGTCTTGGAATGTGGCAGTCCTGTTTGGTTTTAAATGTAGGTTAAATATTAATTTTTCTAAAAAAGAAAGTCCTCGTCCTCCTCTAGGAAGGGTTTTTTCTCTCACTCTCTTATGTTGACAGATGGTTGACTGGCCTTTCACACTAACTTGGTTGGAAGAAGGAAAAACAAACAAACAAAAACAAAAAAAGCTTCAGCTGATCCTATTTGTGTAAGGAAAAAAAAAATCTTCCAAACAACTCTGTTGTTGCCAGCATCAACAGCAGCTGAATGCAGGCTGAGTTGCTGCACAGTGAGAATTATTCCTTTCATTTCAAAGGAATCAGATGTTTGAGCACGCAAAAGCCCTGTCTGGTTAAACATGATCAAAATAAACTAGTATCACATTTGCTTAAGGAAAGCATTAAATCTCCTGCTGAAGTCTGAGTACATGTTCTGTTCCTTCAGAAAGATTTTTTTTTTTTTTTTTTTTTTTTAAGGAGGGAAGCCTCTCAGCTCAAAATTCTAAACGAATTTGGAGACTGAGACGCATCTGAAGATCTTCTCTTTCCAGAATTCCTTTCTTCTGATGGAACCCTGCAGCAAGTGCGCCTTAGCTGTTGATGACTTATAAACAGAAGTCAGAGGAAACCCGAGCTTCTGTCATGATCTGTTCCAAATATAATAAAAAGGGGATGATTGGATGTCTCTTCAAGGTTTTGGATGAGCTCTCTTGTGCTTTGGCTGTTCTTTGAATTTGCAAAGAACAGGGATGAAGAGTGAAGTTTCCAGCCCTCAGTTGTTACCTATCTTGGCAAAAATGTTAACAGTTTGTGTTTCCAGTAGCTCTTGTCTCAAACCATAGCTTCTTTCTTTCCTTCCTTCCTTCCTTCCTTCCTTCTTCCCTTCCTTCCTTCCTCCCCCTCTTCCTTCTTTCTTCCTTCCTTTTTTCTTCCTTCCTTCTCTCTCTCCATCTCTTCCTTCCTCTTTCTCCTTCCTTCTTTCCTTCCTTCCTCCCCCTCTTCCTTCTTTCTTCCTTCCTTCTCTCTCTCTATCTCTTCCTCTCTTTCTCCTTCCTTCCTTCCTTCCTTCTTTCCTTTCTTTCTTTCTTTCTTTTTTCTTTCTTTCTCATTCATTTCTTTCCCCTTCAAAAGGAAGCAGTTCTTCAAAATACAATTGCTCAGTATTATGTGGCACTCATTATACGTTTTATACTTTGGTATATGCAATTAAGCATCTTCTTCCTCCCCTGTGTATCCCCGTAATGTGTGACCTGGGGGTCTCAACTTCCTTGTTTGTATTTGGGAACTGGACAAAGCTTGCAGTCCCAAATTACATTTTGTCCCAGGGTTCCTAAAGTTCAGCTCTGGCACTTGATTCTTGATGCTTGTTTGCCATTTCTTGTGGGAGACTAGACCTGTGCTTTCCAAGACATCCAGGGCCATCTTTTGCTTCGACCCTCTGGACACTGATTGTATAATATAATTTTCCAGAGCCCTGAGTTGACAGGGAAAACTGACTGAATTGTCAGCTGCCCCTGGGTGGGCACATAGTGCCTGCCTGAAGCCACTGGCTTCCGGACTTTATGTGGTATCCTCTAGGCCTGAGTGAAAACGTGGGCCGGGCTTGACTCCATTCCAAATGCTAAGGTCTTTGCAGTTTCTGTTGTTAATTTATTTTCTGATAATCCCATAAGGTTCAATAGAGGCTATTTTTGAGAAATTAGACAATAAAGTGGGGGTCCTACATCTTGAGCTTCAGCAGCAGCAAGGAAACTGTTATTAAAGCAAATGGGGGGGGGTTCTACCACAAATCTAATAAACCAGGAGCCATGCAATGTGCTCAGAAACTTTTTATTCAGTTTTAAAAGGCAAGTCAGATTGAGCTTGCTGGGGGAAGACAGACAGAAGGAAGGCACAAAACCCTACTTCTCCTGAATCTCAGACTCATGAATATGCTCAACCCATGTGTAGCCTACTTCATGGATTTACTCCTCAGCATGAGGCATTTCTAAAGACAGTGGTTCTCAGCCTTGGTTTCAGAATAGAAACACTAGGGAAACTTCTGCAAATTCCATTGGTTAGGTTGTACACCACACTAATTAAATCAGAATCCCTTGGAGCTGGGACCAAATTTAAATGTTTAAGTTTATCAGGCCATTCCAATGTTCAGAAAAATCTGAGGCGTTACTCAAGTGGCTTATCTAGCATATGTTGTGCAGAAATATGATACACAAAATGCTTGAAAACACATGTCCCAACTGGGAGCCAGCATTTTGTTTGTGGGCTATGAGTATAGGCTTTTTGATTCCAACCAGTGTTTTTTCTCCCGAGGTTTCTCAGCTCTGTCCTGCCAGAAGGCTCCTGCATTATCTGAACACACTGAATTCGGCTTACTATGTTCCACATTCTTATTTTGTATCATAGTCCCATACTTTGTGTTCATTTCTTGCATAGCACTGTAAACTCCCAGAAATAAGGACGCAGGTGTAACCATCTCCTTTCCCCCATCATACATATACCACATGTAAGCACTTAAAGATATTAATTTAGTGACACATGCACAGGGAGATAGAAATATCTATCATGCAGAGCCGAGATATCCAAAAGCATCTTGGCAATTTGGTCTGTGTCCTCATTCCCAAACACCATTTCTAATCTGTGTGCTTCGAACCCTTCTCCACAGGGATTGATAACTTTAGACTCTAGCATCTTCATCTGAACATTTCATCACCAGAAGAAAAAGTCTATGCTAATTCTGGAGCACTGAGCATCCAAGGCAGGCTCCACACTATAGCTTTGCCATCAGTGGAAATAGGCAAATTAGAGAATTTGGTGGAAAAATAATGTGTATATGAATCAGTTTTTCTGAGTTATATAGCCGTGACTGTTCACGGCCAAACTGGTGAGAAACAGCCAAAAGAACAAGGGACTGGATATGACACTCAGGCCATCTTTTTGCAGAGCAGACATTTTGTGCAAAAGCTTCCTTTAAGAAATTTAGCTGGACCATATAGATGGCTCTTTTCCATTGGTCATCCTTCCAGTAACCCAGAGACTAAGGTGAGAGAGTCCCACAGACAGTTCCAGACAAACACAGTTCATCCCAGGTGCAGGGAGATGCAGGCTGGTCTCCAGAGTCCAGCACACTTTATTATTATTATTTTTTCTTCCTGAGAGTGTGGAGCCAAGGGACAGAAAAGAGGGAAACACCTTGGCTAAGAAAGTATTTATGACCCAGCAGAAAGGGAGGAACAGGAAAGCCTCCAGGTAGTTCTTTAGACCCTGGCAGCTGTTTCTGTCAGCGTTCCCATTTCTAGATTGATGCTCACTGCTTAAGTCCCGGGATACTGGATTTGTTAAACTGCCTCTTTGTTTAACTCTCACAATAGGGATTTATGTCTGAATACCACTGGACATGTTCGGCATTTGGCTGCTTTGGAAGACGTAACTGAGGCTCAGCTGCACAAAGTCACACATCTGGAAAATTGCCAGAGGCAGAACCTAGGCATACCTTCCTCTAAAGTCTGAACAGGAAACTCGGATTATTCATCGTTCTTTCCGTAGCGCAGTCTGCATAGTCAACGCGGGGACACATCCACACTCAAAGAGGGAGCCCTGGCAGAGGGCGGAAGCGTCTATCTTGTGGCCCAGAGATGGGTCCATCCTTGGCTTGTTCTTAGCTGTATAAACTTAGGCAAACAACTTTCTCTCCCAAACCTACTCAACGGCCTGAGCCCCTCCCTCTCTTTAGCGCTTTCCAGCCGGGCTGAAACCGGTCTCCATGTTGCATCTGAGGCTGAAGGAGTACAAAGAGCAAGCCCAAGTAGACTCCAGGAAACGACAGCGAGCCTCACTTCCCCAAATGCAGGAGAGAAAGCAACACCATCCTCTCCTGCCACCCACAAGGGACCCCACACGCATCACTTGTCCCCAGGGGTCGGCCTCTCGCAGCGCCAGCTCCCAGGCTGCTAGAGCGCGGCTCGCGGAGGCTCGGCGGCAGGAGGAGCATGTGAGCTGGAGGCGTCCCTTTAAGAGGGGCCAGCCGGGCGAGCCTCCGCCTCCAGGACCGCAGCGTTACCGCTGGTCACCTGGGGCTGTCGGGCAGCGGGATTGCGGCGGGGCCGGCGTGCTCTCCGGGAGCCGGAGCGGGGCTCGGACTCGAGGCGCGGCAGGACAGGCTCGGGGCTCGGCGGTCCCCCAAGAGTCCGGCGGAGGATGCGGGAGAGCACGTGGGTGTCGCTGCTATTGCTGCTGCTGCTGCCGGCCCCGCAGTGGGGCGACCCCGGGGAGCCCGAGCGCGGCCCGCTGCAGCCCTTCGACCTGCTCTACGCCAGCGGCGTGGCCGCCTACTACGGCGGGGACTACGAGCGTGCGGTGCGCGACCTGGAAGGCGCGCTGCGCAGCCACCGGCGCCTGCGAGACGTCCGCACCCGCTGCGCCCGCCACTGCGCCGCTCGCCGCCCGCTCGCGCCCCCCGGCGCCGGCCCGGGAGCCGAGCTGCCCTTCTTCCGAGCGCTGCTCGAGCGGGCGCGCTGCTCCCGCAGCTGCCAGCGCCAGCGCCTGGGCGGCCCAGCGTCCCGCCACCGCGTCAGCGAGGACGTGCGCAGCGACTTCCAGCGCAGGGTGCCCTACAACTACCTGCAGCGGGCCTACCTCAAGGTACTGAGCGCCTCTGCGACCCGTCGCCCACGCCCCTTCCTCGGGCTGGCTCCTGGGGGTCATGGCCCTGCCCCACAGCCAGCTTTTCAGGGTGGCTCTGCCGGACGGGAAAGTAGAAGCCCAGGGTCTAGATGGAAGTGGGCAGATCCCGTTGGCTCTCTGTCCCAGCATCATCTTAGTATCAAAATTGTCCTTCAGCCCTTCACGTGGTTATGGGCTACTTAGACCCTAGAGTTAATCCCTGAATTTAGCCTAATCCCCATTCTCCCCCGCATTTTTTTTTTTTTTTTCCCTCCTGGCCGGCCCTCCTACCCTGCAGTCTGACCTAAGTTTAACAAATGGTCCTAAACGAAGTTATTTCTCTTCAAGTAGAGAAGGGCAAAGGGAAAAAAAATGTGGAAGTATACTTAAGGGTGTATGAGGCTATCTCACCGGAAGTGTGGACTGCTTTGGTGACTTCTTCGCTTCAGGTTACTGGCGGGGGTGGGGGGCAGGGGGCGTTTCCTACTGTCCTGGGCTGCTTCACTTCAGAAGCCCAGTGCTCTCTGGTTTTATTTGCGTCTATTTAACGTCCCCGAAGTTGCTGTCAGGAGGTAGACAGTGGAAACTGGCCTATTTCCCAATCCCGCAATTTAAAAGACCTAAGTGAATGGATAGCGGACAAAATCTAGAATGAATTCCTCAGCAGCTCCCCACCCCCAATACAAACTCATGTTTCTCCGCGTAGCACTTTCTTCCTACCTTCTGGCTTTCTGAGTCAATAGATTCAGGTCTATCCCACAGTGGTGGGAGGAGTCGATAAAGTCATAGCACAGACCAAACCCGCCCCGGGGTGCAGTATGCGCGATGCTGAAGTTCAGGAGTTGACTAGCCTGGGTCAAGGAATGAGGAGACATCCAGAACTCGCCAGGACTTGTGTGTTGTCAGTTCTCCTGTGCTTTCGGATGGATTTGCTAAGGCATGCTAAAAAAAAAAAAAAAAAAAAAAAAAAAAAGAGTACCACGATTTTTCCTGCTCTTCCAGGAATCACTTAATTCAGGGAGAGGGCACCTTGAGAGCCAATAGCAAATACATTCTAAGCTGGTTCGGAGAACGGAATGTGGGTGTTAGTGAAGTGTGGCCCGTATGTGTGTATGGGTCTCCCAGAAGTCTCAAGAGGGAGAAGCGGCCGTTTTGCTGATGGTTCTGGAGTTCACGGCAGAGCGAATTTCTTTTCCCAGGAGGAAAGTAGAAGAGAAGGGATGCATATTCATTTTGGGTCCTGTGAAAATAAATAACCGCGCAGTCAGTATGTGGAATGCTGTCGTTCTGTAACTATATATTCTCATGTAACATTAATATTTATTTCTCATTCCCTTGCCCTTCTCCCTGCTTGGGGGCCAAAGATAAACCTATAAGCTAAACAGCCCTCAGACTTTTGTGGTGGCTTTGATTCACATGACGGACAGTTTCTGAAGAAGGAAATATTTTTACCCCTTTGGGATTTGCTTGTTAACACCTAAAAGATATTACAATTTTTTTCTCCTCTGTGCTCCATGGAAGTTCCAGAGGTAGCCTGCCCTTTGCGCCTCAGGGAAACACATACACACACACACACACACACACACACACACCAGCAACACCAGCATATAGACTAAAATATTAAAAAATAATAAAAGGCCTCTCTTGGGCAATAAGAGGTTTGAACTATGGGATGTTCATTCACTGGCAGGGTGGTCAGCTCCTGTGAACCTGGATATGGTCATAGTGCCATGTACAACTGAATTGGATGTAGTCACAAAGCCGTGTGTAACTGAATTGCTTCTGGCATCTGCGACCCAGTTTGCACTTAGAAGTCTAATCCTATGCCAGATACAACTCAGTGAGGAACAGAAGGCTTCTCGGAGTTAAGGAAGCACAGCCATTCTCAGCTAGAAGTTACACAAGCACTGCGCTCGCTATCAGGAGTAAAAACCTTCTACATCCTGGATAAGGAGCTACTGAAGGCAACACATTCCTGGTGCTCACGAGTTGGACACTTAAGAAGTGGTGAGAACTGTAAACTCCGACACCTTGCACTTAGATTTCTCTTTTGAGAGATGACGACAGGGATGTCCAAAAAGAGAAGGGACTTGCTCCTTGTCACCTGAGTGATATCAGTTCAGCATGATTTGAAGAAGTGAACCCAGGTCTGGGCTCTGAGGCTAATGGACTCCAGCCTGTGCTGTGTCCACAGTCCACGGGTGGCACTGGGCTCTGGAGAATGCTGCACTAGAGGAGATTACACTGAAGCCAGATGTGGACAGCTCCAGGGATGAGCAGGCCCTTGTTCCCTGTACTCCTCTTTAGTGCAGTTGTATACAATCTGCCTAGAAGCCTGGCATGTGGGAAAATTGAGCCGTTAGGTAGTGGTTGTTCTACAGAGGCATTCTTGGTGTGCAAAGGCGGGGCAAGAGTTATCCAACTTAAAAAATCTCTCTCTCTCTCTTTTTGTAAGATATAATCTATTAATCATAGCCTAAACCCTAAGATATGGCTATTGATGTACCACTGCTTGTGAGGATGCATAGTGGCTTCTCTTTGCTAGGGTAGAGAGCCCAAACACTTTGACCCCCAGCATCTACAGCTTCTCTGCCCCTTCTTCTTCATAGCCTTCTCTCCCCATGTCTGACCCTTTGGATCTTGGCCTTGCTATTCTTGCTGGGGAGCTTGAAGGCCACAGAATAGGAAAAGATAGGAAACTGAAGTCTGCTGTAGACGATACAGGCTTTCTGTTCTAGTATTTGAGAGATGGGAAATGCTAGACCACCTGCTTGGTTTGAGTTTAGTTTATGACCAACCAGGGCCTGCCTCTCATGGAAATAAAGGGTTCCTCCTTTACATATTGAAATCATCACTGTGCTAACACAAAGAGAGACTCCAGTGAGGCTCCCTGTGTTCTTCCATAGCTCCCAGCAGCTGTTTTGAATGCTCTGGTAGAGAACTTTTGTCTTTTGTCTTTCTATTAAACTCCATTTTTTAAAGTGTATATGCCAGTGCTTCCGAGAGCTCCCCGGCCGCAAGAACCAGCTATTCTTTTTGCAGTTCTCAAAGAACTGATTCCCAGGCACGAATGCTTACCAGATGTGCCCTTTAGCGTGAACATTAGACAGTTATGTCAAAAGGTCACTAATGAGTTGGGTCATCAGCAATCACGTTTCCTTTAAATGTCTTAAATAAGATGGGTAGACATCAAAGCTCAGTTTCCATTTGTTGCGCGGATGCTAGCTCAGCTTTATGCGTGTGACATTCTGAGAGACATTTCCGTATGGGTGAAGGGCAATTTACCACATTGGATGTCTGTCTTCCTGGACGTCAGTTGGAGTGAAATGTGACAGGGCTCATTATTTCTTATTGTTTTGTACTTAGAAGTTCTGGATGTTGTTACAACCCCTTCCTACTCTATCCATTTAGTTGGTTTGACTTGTCTTCTTTTTCTACATTATCTTTAGATTTTATCCTTTGAAGCTGTACCCTACCCACTGAACTTACTTTATAAGCATTTGTGGTATTTTAAACAAATGTGAGGGAGAGTATTTTTCTTTCTTACCTGGGTCCTAAATTATCAGGTATGGTTTTTCTGTATCTTTTCCTTCCAGTGTTCCTAGCTGCTCAAAAAAGAAACAGCAACAAACTAAGTGCTTCTTCTTCTTCTTCTTCTTCTTCTTCTTCTTCTTCTTCTTCTTCT